TACGTGTTTTTGAAATGCCGATATATGAGATAACTTTACTTTGTCATACTTCAATGATGTATTATATTATACAATGAACTAATAACTAATTATTTGGGCAGCATGGACCAAGATGGAAGTCTTAACATCAGTTTCAACGAATGGCGGGACTTTCTTCTTTATGCACCAAGTAGTACCTTGCTTGATATTATCGAATACTGGCATCATACCACGGTGAGTATTTTATATAGTTTAATTTTTATATTAAGAAAAAATGTATAACACACAGTTAATGATATCAAAATGCATGTCCCATTCAAGTATTTTATCATCTACATCTATTTACTACTATATTATCTATATATTTACGGAAATATACGGGTAATTCCTGAATATCTGGACCGTAATATCCATAATATCTATAATTATCCATAATAAATAGTTAATGTAAGTATGCTATATATATATATATATATATATATATATAAACACACACATATAAGAGCATATTGTAGATCAGTGATGCGCAACCTTTTTTAAACCGTTTTTAGAAGTAAGCAAAATTTTTCGGGCCGCATAATGTTTTTTTTGTTTGCGTGAAATAGAAAATATGATTTTCGGCTATGAGAAAATGAGATTTTCGGTGAACTGCAAAAAAAATTCACAAGTAGGTCGTATGCGGCCCGCGGGCCGCAAGTTGTGTGTCACTGTTGTAAACTATTTATTTCACCTCATTTATGCACATATACATACATACATATTTATGTGTACATATACATATTGTATACATGCAGGATTTTCAACTTTGATGAACACTGACGCTTTTACAAAATGTCTCGGTAAATATTCGGTTAGATTATGCAAGTCAAATTTTCAGTAAGTTTATCTTACGAAACTCTGCAACGTTTCATCAGCTGTTTCTTACGCCATACCAGCGATTCCCAACTTCGAATCGCAAGATGTAATCTATACAGATATATCTTTTATTTTCACGCTGTTTGAACTATTATATAAATATTAGAAATTGTTATATGTAATTTATACATAAACTTTTAGATTATTTTTGTAAATTTCATAATTCGCAGATCTCTAACTATTATTAATAATATTTAGTACTGATAATTAAGTAAGTTAAATATTGTATGTTATGTATTTAAATAGTAATTGAATTATTAATTATTAGTTTTATTATTAATAATTGCAGAATAATGATAGAGAAGAAATAAAACTAAATAATGATAATTCGATAGCAATAACAGCAAATATTAATTTTGAATACTCTTATTGTATAATCGTAATATATATAGAGTATCCCGAAATTAAATGTTAGGACTTCGACATAGAGGGAAACTATAATAAGACAAAAAATCCTTTAAGGATTTGCTCATTTTTGCTTTATTTTAAAGAAAATCGCAAAAAATAAATTTTTTTATTTATTTGTCACTTATTTATCCGTTACACACATTATTTTTCATGAAAATGAATGTCATTTTTATGATGTTGCTCGAGAGAAACCAAGTGTTAAAATTCAATTTGTTAAGATAATCTTGAGGTAATAAATTCTCCTGAGACTTTTGAAAATGATACGGCGATTAAATACTTCTCAAAGTTCGCCAGATTGTCTGCCGCGCCAAATTGTCTGTCTACTCTTAATACAGATGACGCTTTCCAAATGTTGGTTTCGGGATTCTCCTCAAAGTGGCATAGAATAATATAGTATATGTATTATGTAAGTATATACGGAGTGTCTCTGTGCCAAAACAAGTATAATGGTTTTAACATGAAAACAGGTCGAAAATGCCTTATGAATAACGTCCGATAAGAACAGTTTCGAGGTATTGAAGTTGTTTTCGTAAGAAAACAATGAATTGAAATAAATATCATTTAATGTTCTTTATTTTATTTAATTTTTTAGAAAAGATAAAATATTCCTTCAATTTTGATATACTTTTTTTTTTAGCACGAATTAATAAATTTCGAGCTTCTTGAAAAATATTTGGACTTTCGTGGATGACATCAGTAGTACTAAGTATCAGTTGCCGTATACAGTTATGCAGTATGTTTCAGTGAAAGGGTAATTAGTGTCGAATAAAACACAAGGGGTTATTTATGTTTTGTTTTTATTATTGATTATTCAAAATAGACTCCTTGTGAGTTAATACACATTGCTGAAAACGCGATCGTAAAACTTTTTGAAGCAGTCCTTAAATACCTCCGCCGGAATCGCCTTTAGGAAGTCTGTCGAAACCTTAGCTTCGAGAACCGATGCATTGTCGAGTGAAGCACAAAGTACATATAGACTTTCCGCTTTCCCAAATTTTCCACGCCCGGCCGTGGATTGTTTTTAATGCTCTTCCAGCTGTTACGAAATCTTGCATACCACTTGAAAACGTTCTTACGATTCACGGTTTCACTGCCATAAACAGTTTAAATTAGCTTCAACGTTTCAATAGTAGTTTTGTTCAATTTAAAACAAAGAGTGACCCGTCCGTTTTTTCCTTGATTTTGGAACTAAATTGTATATCAAATAATATCTCGAAAATGACATTATTAATAATATTAATCACAGAGAAGTTTCAAGTTGAGGTGATATTTGTTATTAGAACTGGAGGAGGAGGAAGGGGGGAGAACAAAATTTATTATCGAATTTTAAGCAAGCTCCAAAAAAACTGGCACTGGATTTTGGGACTAAACTGTGTGCCAAATGGTACTTTATAATGAGACATTAATCACAGAAAAGTTTCAAGTTGAAGTGACAATTGTTATTAGAACTTGAGGGGGGGGGGGGGGGG